ATAAGCATTTTTTTAGAGTAAACTTCTAAACACTCCTGTTGCTGCAAAAAAAAGTTTGTCATAAACACAAACGAGATATTAATAAAAGGTCATCAATTATAACTCCAGAAATGAGCTTATGGCACAACTTAATCTCATCTTGTCTCCTCTTCATATTTCTTTTTTCTAATGTTTCCTATTGTTTGACTGAAATCATTTGCATAATATCTGTATAATTATGGTTTCACTGTTTTCAAGATCTTTCATCCCTCATTATAAATTATATATTTTTTGTTGTTTTTAAGGAAGATGCATTCATTTTTTTGTTTATCCATCCACCTATTTGTCCTGTTAAGGGTCAAGGGAGCACTGAGGCCTCTATTGCATTCAACAGATGAGACACCACGTATAAAGTGTAATTTTGGGTTATTTTATAAACACGTTCACTGTTGAAAATGCACCCAGCACAGGAAAATAGGGGAACACATGTCAGCCATACTGGAGAATTAAAACGTCGGACCACTGTCAGAAACCAACCACTACTGTGATCAAACACGCAAGACTGTTCAAATTAGCCGCAATTGCCGCACGTTGATGCACAGGATGCTCTCCTTCTACAGGTGTGCAGTGGAGAGCATCCTGTGCTCCACCATCAACGTGTGGCATGGAGGCTGCACAGATGCAGAAAGAAAAGCTTTGCAGAGAGTGGTGAAGGCTGCACAGAAGACTGTTGGAGTCAGCCTCCCCACCATCACAGACATCTACACCTCCAGATGCAGGAAGAGAGCCACCTGCATCATGAAAGACCCCACTCACCCAGCACACACACTTTTTGCCCCGCTCCACTCAGGAAAGAGGTTGAGGAGCATTAAGTGTAGAACCAGTAGACTGAGGAACAGCTTCTACCCTGAAGCTGTTAGACTCATGTACTCTAACCAGAATAATCACTGTGAAAAAAATCACATCATGTTGCTGATTTGGTTCATGTTGCTGTGTTCATTCATGCTCATCAGCTCACACAGACTCATGTTCCTGCTGCTGTTCGATCTATTGTTTTTATGCTATTAGTGCTTAGCGTATTTTTAGTTGATGCATTTCTTAGTTCATATCTTAGATCTTATTACAGTTTTTATTTTACATTTTATTGTTGGATGTAACTGGGACCCTGAGTACACCACATGTACCACATGAGATGCGAATGACAATAAAGAAATTTTGACTCTGACTTCAGGGCATGGTCACAAATGTCTGAAATCTTCCTGGAAGGAATCCCCAGAAATTACTGAGCACATCCGGTAAAATGTTTTTTCTGGACTACATGTCTGTCAAACTACTGAAAATAGCTCCAAATTTTAGCTAAAGTACCTTACACTCAGCATAAACAAAGTTTAAATTAAAAGACAGGCATCTGGACAAATCAGATCAAAGCTTTTGTGAAGACCAGCCTACACTGCACATCTCACTGATAAATACAAAACATGTCTTCTGACTGGATGTCTCAAGAACCGAACACAGTTTTGGGAGTATTTTTTATAGACAGGTATAGTATTAATTTTAGATGTATCAAATGTACTTGAGTTTAACTAAAAATACATAGATTAATAAAATGTTAAAATATATTCATAAGTTGCAATAATAATTTTTAAAAGTTCAACAGGTCACAGTCATGTAGTGATTGTGAGAGACTTTGATTGTAAATGTAAGAGACTGATAGTGAATGTGAAAGCAAGAATAAATTATGGCCTAAAGGGCCTCTCATATACTTCACTGACGCGTAACCATCGGTTCCTTATAAAATCTGGGTCCTCGTTGTCTGTACTGCCAATCAACAAACATACTCCACTATCATTTTGTCAGAATGTGTTGTCAACAACACAAAATGATAAGACCAAACGTATGCAGACAGATGCAATGACGTCATGAAATAATTTAATACTGAAAACAAAAATGCTGGTGTGAATGCAAAAATACAGAAACAATAAGAAACAAAATCCTTATGACCAATGCAGGGAACATAACACAATGATTACAAAGATTTAGATGTGGAGCAGGACTGACAGAGGGAATGCAAAGTGAATGACTCAGGGGAGAAACTAGAAGTGCACTTGTTAAAATGTGGTACCAGGTCAGTTAACTGACAAAAAAAAATTGATTAGTTTATTCACAATAATAATAATAATATAATAATTCACAATCATAATCTCATTTGCACTACATGTAACACATGTGGTGCGAACAACAACAAAGAATCTTTGACTCTGATTCACCCTTTAATAATGAGAACTCTGTCACTGAAGTGGACTTTGTTAATTACAGTGAATTCTGAGTGATAACAAATGAACATTGACCCACATGTGACCAAATTTGTCTTTGAAGTTTTATTCCAAAGATAATTAATCAAAAATAGGATAAGAACAACAATAATAAAAACACAAATGGCATAAAACACATGCTATCTTTGTTATGTGACATGAAGATTTTAAAATTAGCTAAAGAAAGAAGGACAGAGGTGTGAACTTACGATGCTGCTAAAATAACATGAAGACCTTTGCACTAATGCTGCTGTTTTCCAATTGCTAAGAAAACAAGACAAATGCAATGAATGGCACCGTCAGCAGCAGCAGGCCAACCCTTGTACTGCTGGCACCGTTGCAGTAGTCGCCTTGGCAGCAGCTACTTCTAGATCCAAGATCATTTGTAAAAAGTGCAGAAGAATTATCCCAGCACATAATCTTGGAGGCACAGCCCTTCATGAGCTTCATTTCCCCTTCAACAGTCACTGAAAGAATAAAAAGAAACATCATGTAAAACATGTTTGATATTAAAACCTCCTAACATTCAGGGTTTGTCTTTTACTTGAGGATTTGATGCAGTAATCCTCGCTTCCATCACAGTTTAGAGATCTGGTGCACTTTTGTCCTTCACAGCTGTAGCACTTTTTGCCATTTGGAATGAATTTAGGCACTGAAATAAAACAAATATTTATTGAGAACAAAAATCAAGGAGGGAGTATCAGATCTTTGTTTAGTACTTATGCCCTGCTATAAATAATTTAAACTAGCTTTCTTAAAGTTGTCTTGTTTATTGTAACTTTATGACTGTACCGGTAATATACCTGAGCTTTTTTTTTTTTTACAAGAGCTGGTTATAAAAAGCCAATAGTAAAAATGAAAATAAATAAATAATGAACTTGTGCAAATGAATCAGAAAACTACACAAAAATCAATTTTAGCACATTTGCACATACACTAATAAATAGTACATTTAAAGCAAAACCAAACACTGAATTGTGGAACATTGATGCATTGACATGACACGTCATGGGCTCTGGAACTAATCTTCTTCAGACGGGCTGGACCTTACTCCACTGGAGTCACCCATAGTGACAGGCACTGGGTTGATATGGGTCTAACTGACTGGTCTGACTGTTATTTTCCCCTATCTGCCAAACAGCAGTTTTGAGTACCTAGCTTTTGGAGTCCTTAGTGGCGGTACTGGGAGGTGCTGGAGACTCCTTTAATCAGCTGGGGGACTTCAATGCCCATGTGGGCGGTGACAATGTGACCTGGAGGGGTGTGATGGGGAGAAACAGCCTCTGATCTGAACCAAAGTGATGCTCTGTTGTTGGACCTCTGTGTCAGTAAGTTTGTGCACTGGACAAACTGTTACTGGCACAGAGATCCATCATGAACGCCATGTTCAACCATAAGGATGTCACAAGGATACACATCATCTGATCTGCAGTTGTATGTTTTGGACACAGGTGAAGAGAGGAGCTGAGCTGCCAACTGATCACCAATTGGTGCTGAGTTGGATCAGATGGCAGGGAAAAAGTTGGACAGACCCAGTAAACGTAAACATGTAGCTATGGCCAAAAGTTGTGCCTCTCGCCGTGGCCATCCTCAAACCCAGTGGTGGACACCCCAGGTGAGGAAGTTTGACAAGCAAAAGGAATACCAGGTCTTGATGGCTGGTACAACTCTGGAGACAGCAGAGGTGTATTGGTAGGCCAAGCAGGCAGCAGCTCTGGCTGTTGCTGATGCAAAAGCTCAGATGTGAGAGGAGTTTGGTGAGACCTTGGACAGAGGCTCTTGATTGGCTCAAAAAAGATTATGGAAAATCATCTGGTGGCTAAGGAGGGGACAACAGCATATACCTACAGTACACTGTGTATAGTGAAAGTGAAGTGATGTTGCCCTCAGCCAGTGTTATCAGGCAGTGGAAAGAATATTTCTCAGATGCTCTCAATCCCACCAGCATGTTGCTCATGGAAGAGGCTGAGTCCAGGGACTTAGGAATTGGTCCATCCATTACCGGGGGTGAGGTTCCCGAGGCCAGTTCAAATACCAGTCAGGGGCCTTTCTGGGTGGAATTTACATGTTCTCTCCGTGCATGCATGGGTTTTCTCTGGGTACTCCAGTTTCCTCCCACAGACCAAAAACATGCATGTTAGACTGATTGGTAACTCTAAATTGTCTCTAGCTGTGAGGAAGGACACAGGAATGGAAAATGATGCTAGGAGCTCAAGTAAAAAAAAAAAAAAATTAACAGAAGGCAACACAGAGGAGAACTATACATGAAGTTTACACAATATCTGACAGAAGAGAAAGTGAAAAGTGAGGGACTTTATGTACAAAGGCTGATGAGAGGAGTAGAGACACATGAGCACGACTAGAGAGAACAGGTGAGAGAGGGTTGGGCAGGAGTTAATTAGTTAAAACTGACCGAGAAAAAACAATGGTACATAGAACACTGGGAAAAAATTAAACTCATAGAAAATTAAGATACAAATAACAAAGAAAAAAAAAAAACAATCATTAAAAGCTACAAAAAACAACCTACTCAAAGACAGATCCTGCCAGCAGCTTACTTTACAAAACAAATGTATCTATAGAAAGCAGGAATAAACATTGTTGGATGATTTATTTGCGTTATGTAGGTTAAGGTTGCAAGTATCGTAGCGGAGATTGGACCCAGATGCAGGCAGACACAAGGAGCTCAGATAAGGAAAACGTATTTATTAAATAAAAGGAAACAAAAAGGTGACATGGCAGAAAGCACCTTACATAAACACAGGGGAGCTTGAGAGGAATGACTTGGACATCAGACAGAAACCCAGAACAATGAACCGCTGAGGACGTAGTGATCAGAAATGGTATAAATAGAACAGGGGTGGAAAGTGGCAGCACCAGGGTTATTGCTAATTGGAAACAGGAATTATTGCCACCGAACTGTCTGTATTTTAACGCCCTGCGGCCATCAGGCCGGCGCGGTGGTGGATTATTAACAATATCCAAATCAACTTTTGACTGTAAACAACAGTCCATCCCAGTTTCCCGCGCCAGCTTTGAGCTGAGCGTCTTTGAAATCGGACATTCACCTCAGACTTTATTTGCACTCGTATACTGCCCACCTCGATCTAAGGATTTCATAAATGAATTTTCTGACTTCTTAGCTGAAATCACACCAAAATATGAGCATGTTTTCATTATTGGGGACTTTAATTTGCACATGTGCTGTCCTGAGAAGCCCTTGGTTAAGGACTTTTTAGATTTATTGGACTAATTTAATCTAATGCAGCATGTAAACGGTCCCACCCAAGAGCGTGGACATACACTGGACCTTGTTTTAACTCATGATGTGACTGTTAATAATCTTGTTATTGGTGATAATGTTTTTTCATACCACATGCCAGTCCAGTTTGAGTTCACCCTCCCCCATCTAACTCCTAAGTCGTGCATTCTTGCACGTAGTACCCGGGCTATTCACAATTTCACTGCCGCGCGTTTCACAGATGTTTATAACTCTGAAATGATAACTCAGCCCCCGATGTTTCTCACCACCACTGAGGAACTGACATCCCAGTTCAACTCTGTCTGCTTAATGACTCTGGATCATGTTGCACCTGTTAAAATAAAAAAAATCAAAACTCAGAGCAGAACCTTGGCTGAGTGACGTCACCAAGGCCGTTAGGCAGCAATGTAGGATGGTGGAGCGAAAGTGGAGGAAAGACAGGCTGCAGGTCTCTTTTCAAATATTTAAAGAGAGTTGGCACCATTATCAGAAAGCAGTAAAAGCTGCTAAATCCAAATACTTTTCTGATATCATAACCTCAATCTCTCACAACCCACGTGTCCTTTTCTCTACCCTAAACTCTGTTCTCCACCTCACTGAACCATCACCTCTGGAAGCCTCGACTGAGCTGTGAGAGAACTTCTTAAATTTCTTTTTAGAAAAAATTGCAACCACCGGGGCTCTCATTTCCCCTCCAACTCATGACCCATCCATCCCACCTCAATCTGTAGCTTTATTTATTTCACAATTACTTCCGGTGAGCGAACGCTGGCGCATCCTGGCTGCCGCTGCTCGTCGTGCTTTTTTGCTTTTTTCTGTTTTATTCAGTCCGTCCTGCCTTTTCCACTACACCAAGTCTCTGGTCCGTATCAATATCAACCATGCGGTTCATTAGGATTAACCTGCTGCCCTCTCTGCTTTGGACTCTCCAGCTGCTCATCCACTACCACCCGGCGTCTGGCCTTTTCCATTACTCAGAGGCTGATCTCCTTCGCCTATGTTTCCTACCAGCCGTGCCACCTGTGCTCCCTCTTCAGGACATTGCCTTCCATCCTCGACGGAGATACATTCACCATGGCTCCCGCCGTAGACTCCACGCTGACAAGTCTAACCCCATAAACTCCATCTGGTCTGACTCTCACCGTTCTACATGCCGCAATAGGGCCGCTAACAGTAGCAGCATGTTAGCTAGCCTAGCTCGGTCGACTAATGCTCCGGTCGCTACAAACTCCTCCTCTGTAAAGTTTGGCCTTCTGAATGTTTGCTCACTCACTGGCAAAGGTCAGCTTATTCAAGACCTAATATCTGACCGTAAGCTAGATTTTATTTGTCTAACAGAAACGTGGCAACAACAAAATGACTTTTTCCATCTGAATGAATCTACCCCACCGGGGTTTGTTTACATCGCCAAATCCCGCGAGTCCAGCCACGGAGGAGGTCCCGCGATAATTCACCGCGAGAACTGGAAGGTCACGCCGGTTCACACACCTCCCTCTCCCTCCTTTGAGCACACTGTGTGTCTACTCTCCGGCCCTACCCCCCACTGTTGTTGCCACTTTCTACCGTCTGCCCAAAATCAACAACTCTTGTATAAATGACTTTGCTGCTCTAATCGCCCATCTCTCAGCTCTTTCACCCATCATTATTCTACTTGGAGACTTCAACATTCATATGGATGAAGACAACAACCCCCTCACCAGAGACGTCACATCTTGCCTTGACAGCTGTGGCTTCCAGCAGTTCATTAACTTTCCAACCCACATAAAGGGCCACACTTTGGACTTATTATGCTGCTCTGGATTATCTCCTTTTAACTGTTCTTCTGATGAACTTCCATTTACTGATCACCTCATGATTTCATTCAGTGTCAATCTTAAATTTTCTTCAGAGAAACCTCAACGCACTTTTTCCTTCCGTAATATTAAGAATATCAACCATGACATTCTTTTGTCTCATATTAATAATACCTTCTTCACCTTCAATTCTTTTAACCCAGATGACCTTGTCACATTCTACAATAACAGCCTCACCAACATCCTTAACTCTGTCGCTCCTCTCAAAACCCGGTCTGTCTCCTTCTCCAACTCTGCACCCTGGTTCACTCCAGAACTTCGTTCTCTGAAATCCAAAGGTCGGAGGTTGGAGCGACTCTATAAGAAATCTGGTCTCTCAATTCACAAGGAACTCTATGCAAACCACGTCATCCAGTATAAGGACAGTATTTCTCAAGCCAAATCCAACTACTTCACTGACATCATCAGTTCCAATGTTGGCAATTCAAAGACTTTGTTCTCTCTGCTTAACCGTTCGGTCTCATCTCCTAACTCATTACACTCTCACATGGTTTCCACAGAATTTTGCAACTCTCTGATGTCCTATTTCAATGAAAAGATTCTTTCAATTCATAAACACTTTGGACATAATACCACCCCCAGCATCCATGTTAAACTCCCCCTCCCTCCCTTTCTCTGCCTTCTCCCTCCCCTCTGCTGATGACATTGCTGACATTATCAGCAAGTCTAAGTCCTCATCCTGTCAGCTCGATTCATTTCCCACAGTTCTTGTTAAATCCTGTCTCCCGTCTCTGCTCCCCATCATCACTAACATCATCCACTCCTCCCTAACCTCTGGCATTGTTCCCACAGCTTTCAAATCTGCGGCCATCACCCCCATCATCAAGAAACCAGGTCTTGACTTTACCAACTTCAGTAATCTTGGTCCGATCTCTAATCTGCCCTTTATTTCCAAAGTTCTTGAAAAAGCCGTTGCTACTCAACTTCACTTTCACCTATCCAACAATAACATTTATGAAGAGTTTCAATCTGGTTTTCACCCCCACCATAGCACCGAAACAGCTCTAATAAAAATAACTAATGACCTTCTTCTTGCTGCTGACTCTGCTCTTCTGTCTATCCTCATTCTACTGGATCTAAGTTCTGCCTTCGACACAATCTGTCATTTTATCCTCCTCAACAGACTAACCTCCATTGGCATCTCAGGTACTCTGTTAGACTGGTTCAAATCATATCTCTCTGACCGCACTCAATTCATTCAGCTTAAATCCTTTTGTTCCCAGTCTTCCCCCGTCTCCACGGGTGTCCCCCAAGGCTCTGTCCTTGGACCCCTCCTCTTCACCATTTACCTCCTTCCTCTAGGTCACATCTTCCGTAAATTTGGTGTCTATTTTCACTGTTATGCTGATGACACACAACTCTACTTGTCAACAAAACCAAACTCCACCCACCCACCCTCCATCCTCACCGACTGTCTCAATGAGCTAAATCACTGGTTTTCTAACAATTTCCTACAACTAAACAGTGACAAAACAGAAATCATTCTTGTTGGTACCAAAAACTCTATTTCAAAATCAGAACATCTTCTCATCCCCCTTAACTCTCTGCTATCCCCCTCACCTCAGGTCAAGAGTCTTGGTGTCATCCTTGACATCACTCTCTCCTTCACTTGACACATCAACAATGTTACTCGGTCTGCCTATTTCCATCTCAGAAATATTAACCGCCTCTGCCCTTCTCTCACACCCCGTTCCACAGCCATCCTTGTGCACAGTCTTGTGACTTCTCGGATTGACTACTGCAACTCCCTTCTTTATGGCCTCCCCAACAAATCTCTCCAGAAGCTGCAATTGGTCCAGAACTCAGCTGCCCGTGTCATAACTCAAACCTCCTCCTATAACCACATCACTCCTGTTCTGCAGCAGCTCCACTGGCTCCCGGTTAAATCATGCATTGTCTTCAAAATTCTTCTTCTCACTTTCAAAGCTATCCACAACCTTGCCCCTCCGTACCTATCTGAACTCCTACACATCTCCATCCCCTCTCGCTCTCTCAGATCCTTCTCTTCACTACACCTCCATGTACCCTCTGCCCGCCTCTCCACCATGGGGAACAGGGCCTTCACCTGCTCTGCTCCTCATCTCTGGAACTCTCTACCCCCTGACTTAAGAAACACCACCTCTCTTTCTATATTCAAGACTGCTCTGAAAACACATCTCTTTAGACTCGCTTATCCTTAACTTTGCTGTATGTATTTTATATTATTTATGTGTTTTATAATCTGTATGTATTTTATATTCTTTATTTATTTTATACTTCAATTTATTCCTGTTTTTCTTACTGTAAAGTGTCCTTGGGTGTCCTGAAAGGCACTTTTTAAATAAAATGATTATTATTATTATTATTATTATTATTTGACCATTTTGAACCCATCACTCTATCTTCTCTAGAGCAGGTCATGTGCAGCTTGAAACCTTCTGGCTCCCCCTTTGATGTGGTCCCCCCTCGACTACTAAAGGAGGTTTTTCCTACTCTAGGTCCGTCCATTCTTGATATAGTAAACAGTAGTTTATACACTGGCGTGGTGCCAAAATCCTTTAAATATGCTGCTGTCCAGCTCTCCTGAAAAAAACAAACCTTGACCCCCTCAGTCGTATCCAACTACCGGCATGTCTCCAAACTCCCATTTGTTTCTAAACTACTGGAGAAAATAGTCGAGTCCCAGTTGAAGTGCTTCCTGGAAGGTCACACCATCTTAGAGCTATTCCAATCTGGCTTTAAACCTCTCCACAGCACTAAAACTGCCCTGCTGAAGGTCTTTAACGACATCTTCAGATCCACAGATACTGGTGATTCTGTGCTGCTTGTCCTGTTGGACCTCACAGCCGCCTTTGACACCATCGACCATTAGATCCTCATTGCTAGGTTGGAGTAGTGGGTGGGCATCACAGGGTCAGCCCTCAATTGGTTCAGATCTTACCTCACTGACAGATCCTTTTGTGACTCCATCAAGGATTTTAGTTCCGCAGAGGCAGAGCTTAAATGGGGGGTTCCGCAGGGGTCCATTCTGGGTCCCCTCCTATTCTCTTTATACCTGCTGCCGCTTGGTGCTATTTTCCAGAAACACAACATGCCCTTCCACTTCTATGCCAATGACTGTCAACTTTACTTCCCCCTAAGACACAATGGTACATGCTCTATTCAACCGCTGCTCGACTGCCTGGCTGACATCAGGGACTGGATGGCTTTAAACTTCTTAAGTTTCAATGAAAAGAAGTCTGAAATCATGTTGTTCCCTCCCAACGACACGATCACAAACCACTGCATCGACCTCTCCACTCTAACCCTGTCAGAAAAACAAAGAGTCACTAATCTGGGAGTGATAATGGACCCTTCCCTGAAACTTAATCATGTAAACATGATTGTTAAATCATGCTTCTTCCAACTGAGGCGGCTGTCTAAACTGAAGCCCATATTGTCCAAAAATAACCAGGAGACAGTAATACACACATTCATCACATCTAGGCTTGATTACTGCAATTCGCTCCTGCTTGGTATCAGTCAGACCTCCATTGCACGACTACAACTGGTCCAGAATGCAGCAGCCCGATTTTTAACCAATACAGGCAAAAGAGAGCACATTACACCAGTTTTGGCCTCCCTGCACTGGTTACCGGTTCACTTTCGAATCCAGTTCAAAATACTCATATATGTCTACAAATCACTGAACAGTTTCGCCCCCCCCCCCCCCCCCCCATCTCTCTGATCTGCTACAACCGTATGTCCCACCGCGTTCCCTGAGGTCAGTGGACCAGTTGCTCCTCACAGTTCCAGGATCTCGTCTTAAGCGCAGAGGTGACAGGACCTTCTCTGTAGCAGGACCAAGACTCTGGAAAGAGTTACCTCTGCTTGTCAGACTGGCCCCCTCCCTCTCGGGTTTCAAGTCCCGTTTAAAAACCCACTACTATTCGGTGTCTTTCAACACCAGATGATCTGTGTTTTTATCCTGTATGCTCCACACTGGTTTGTCGTCATTATCTGCATCGTTTTTATGTCTATATTCTGATTTACCTCATTTTGTATTTTGCTTTGTGTGTTACCTGTTGTTTTGTCTGTACAGCACTTTGGTTGGCCTCGTCGCTGTTTTAAGTGCTTTATAAATAAAGTGGTATGGTATGATATAGGTGTGAGTGGTAACTGACACAAGAACAACTGAGGGTGAACGTGAGAACTGACAAGGAAAGACAGGAAGATGAACTAAAACACAAGGGATAAAAAGGAAAAATGTAAACCACAAGGAAAAATACAACTAAAAGATTAACTAAAATAAAACCAAAAAAAAAACCACAGACTATGACAGTATGTGTATATTTGTTTTTACTATGCATTTTATTGTGTGGTTTTATAAATTGGCAGTTTTACACTTGCTAGAAGCTGAAGGTGAATTTCCATTTTATGTAAATTAAATGGGCAGCATGGTGGCGCAACTGGTAGAGCTGCTGCCTCTCAGCGAGCAGGTCCTTGGTTCAAACCCCGGTCCAGGGGCCTTTCTGGGTGGAGTTTGCATGTTCTTTCCGTGCATGCGTGGGTTTTCTCCGGGTACTCCGGTTTCCTCCCACAGACCAAAAACATGCATGTTAGGCTGATTGTTAACTCTTAAATTGTCCCTAGGTGTGAGTGAATGGTCGTTTGTCTCGTTTGTCTCTATGTGTCCCTGTGATGGACTTGCGACCCGTCCAGGGTGTAGCTCGCCCCTCGCACAGTGATTGCTGGACATGGGCACCAGCGACCCCCGTGACCCAAAATGGAATAAGCGGGTAAAGAAAATGGATGGATGGATGGATTCCACTCTACAATACCTGGGGCTTTGGTGTTGCACAGGTCTGAGTTGCAGCAGTGGCTTAAAATGACGGTTTTCTCAGATCCAAAGTTAACCGAGCCTTCAACGCACTCTACAGCCAGAAAACATTTTTTATACCGAATTTGTTGGTCCTCCAAACCGCCTGCAAGCAAAGAGCAGTGAGTGAGTTAAGGAAGCCATTACCAAGCAGCAAACTGATAATAACTAGATGCTACTGCAATAACAAACCTTTATAAGTTGTGAGCGTTATTGCACCGCAAAGAAAATCCTGAGAAGGGCAATCTTTTGTTGTCTCAGTACAAGTTCCAGAAACTCCTTGTACGCACTCATAACATTTCAGGGCATTGACTAATGAAAAAAAAAAAAGAATATTATATATATATATATATATAATAAATGTAATCAAAAGACAAAGAAAACCTGTCAAAAGAAAGAGAAAACAAAAACACAACCAAAGCTATCGTTTTTTGAAAACACAGCAATCTATTTTGTAGATGTTTAAGTTGCAATAATTAAATAAAATTAATAAATCTGGAATCACATCACAGGATGGAAGCTGAAAAAACTAAAATCAAATTACAGAAAGGACACTGAATTGAACTAAATGACTGTTTGATGAGAAAATAGCAGTTAAAAAAAAAAAAAAAACTAAACCCAATAATAACATTTAGAAACTTGCCTTTTGGGGAAAGCCAAAGTCCAAGAACCACTGTGAAGAACTTCATTCTGTTCCAGTAGGACATGGGTGAGTTTACCTTTCCTGTGTTCCAGCTGGATTTAAATAGTTCTTCTTAGCCTCAGACCACTCCTTTGTCCATCCTGCACTGGCTTTTATTAAATATTACAACCCACAGGATCTATATTTTTTACTCCAAATATTTTCTCACTTTTTGTAAAATACATCAGAAACTTCCCTCTACTGTTTATGAGAGCGCCGTGTCATTTTGAGTTTACAGGTGCATCTAAAAATTTTTTGAATATCATGAAAGTTAGTTTTTTTTGTCATTCACTTTATGTTTTTCATTATTTCTAAGCCATAATCATCAAAATTACAAGAAATAAAGGCTTGAAATATTTCACTCTGAGTAATTAATCTGTTTCACTTGATTGACGAGAAGATTTCAACTGTTTCACAAATCTAATTTTTTTAGATGCACTTAAGTATATTGGGTTTTATCATTTTATTGTTTACTTGTTTTTAAACTTGACTTTAAGCTTTAAGACTTGAATTGTTTCACTTGTTGTAGCTTTTTGTATTAGTTGAGGACACAGGTTTTGTACATTGACAAACTATTTTTTCCTAATTTTACCCTAGTACCTATAAAAAATAAAATAAAATCCTGCCATAGACATTATTGTTTTGCAAAAGTCTGTGGCCGCCATCTTGAATGTGGTTGATTTCAAATGTTAATCGTAGATGCACAACCCATTAATTACTTTCTAAGACTTTCATTAGGCTCAGTCCACCAGTTCATATTTTCCAAACCCCATACACAAACAGGCAATAACATTATCACCCCTTTGCTTTCGCCGGTGGACAATAATAAACTGAGGGGCTTTGTTTTGCAAAGTAAGGTACAGCAGAAATTAGTGCACAGCTACAAAAAAATGCAAATGTGTTCTTGTTGGGTCTGTTTTAATAAACTCTTCTATGATGAATTATTTGTTGTTTTTCTGTGGTTCAGGATGGATCAGTTAGTAAATGAACAGTAATTAAAGATCTGAATCACAAACCTGGTGAAGCTGATGTGACGTTGACCATTAATGTCAACCACAGCTTCCAACACCAAACCAGACACCTCAAAAATGACTAGTTTGGCATGAAAATAGTTTTCATGATCTTTGTGGAGCCTGAAATGTTCATAAATATTACATGCTAGCAAGCAGCAAGAATTTGACCAAAACCATGAAGAGGTGATAAGAATCGATGTTCTTAAGTGTGAAAGGATGGTTTGTAGACGTTCTCATTTCTCAAACGTGTTTCTCATCAGGAACATGCTCATTTCCATTATTTCTCAAGACATGTGGGACACTCAAATCAGGCTAAATGAAATGATTTTAAACTTAAAACAAAACTTTAAATGATCAGTTCGTAAAAAAAAAAAAAAAAAAATGCAGAACACATTTGATGGAATCAGTTTTGTTGTCATTATAATGTAACACATTGCTCTGACTTGCTCAATGACATAAATTGAATTCAAAAGGTCTGTTTTTTTTTGTTTTTTTTAGCTGCTCCCATGTTTTATTTCTGGAGTAAGACCGTGCACAATAAAGACGTGAAAATTTAGCATCTATATAAAAATCCATTTCTATCCACACAGCCCCAATATTTTAAGCAAAGCATATTTAAACAGACATCAGCAAGGTAAAAACTCTGGGAATCAACTTAAGCCAAACACCAAATTAAAGAAATGGAGGTAACTAACCCCACACATTAGTTTACATGGAAACATGTGACCTAAACTGTTCTGCAGCCAGCGCTCTCCCTTTGAGGCTGCAGCGTTGGCTTTCAGTCCTCTCTCTATAATACAGCTTGAAGGTTTGGACAAAGAAAAAAAAAAATAACAGTACTGAAATGCAAAAATAATTTATAACCAAAGTTAATTTTTAGTAGTATTTTATTACAAAAATGTTGTACTTTTAACAACAATTACAAATAGAACATAACTTAGAGATGTATGCATTTTATCTCAACCCCTGTGCGCATGGCTTGAGTTTTTTTTTTCCACAAATATTCTGACAAATCAACATGTTTTAACATGTTTTTGTTTTTCCACACAAAAGCTGCTTTTCTCTCTTTTTACACTCACTCCTCTGCTCAAATTGCAGCAGTTTCGATAAACATTACACTTCCTGAGGCAAGAGGTTGGCAACTTTCTGTCTTGGGGCTATAAACACATAGGAAGTCTTCCATTAGTGTGAATGTTGAAATAAACGAGAACTATCCTTCGTTTGGTTTAACACTCCTCATGCGAGTCATGAACACTCTCAGCCTGTCAGGCAAACATTCTTGGCCATAACACCATGATACTCTAATGTCAGATTTAAAATGCCACTCTTTGAACAGCATTTCAACCAAGGAGCTAACTAAGGAGTCGACTGTATTCGGAGAGTGCTGAGGACTTTTTCACACCGTCCCAGATACGAGCTGCATAATGAAACCTGCAAAAACAGCAAAGAAAAGAGGACAGTAAATATGGGTTAGAAAAAGGAGGAGAGAGGCTCCAAATATCCAAGTTGTCTGACAGGAAATTAAAAGAAAAACAGAAAAAAAGAAAATAACATTCCTTGAAGGAACCCTCGCCTACTAAAGTTTTAAGCAGATATCTCAGTGACTTGTTAGCACTCAGAGTATGTGTTGGGATGATGCTGCTACTACTCCATCAAATTTTTATTTAGTTGTTATTTTTGCATCTTAATATTTAGTAAATTTGGCAAAGTATACATGATTTAACCTATTTTGTCATATTTTAACTTGCCGCAGCCAATGTTAAACAAGAAATGACAAAAGTGGAACTCTTTAAAAAAAAAAGGGGGATTCTGTGGTTTTTGTTAATATAAACTGTGACTCTTTGTGTCTTTCTAAATTAAAATTATCTAAATAAACATCAGATTCAGACAACAGGTTCTGTGCTATGGTCTGTGTTGTTAGCCTACTTGTCATTTTCTGTTGATCAGACTGAGTAACTTGCAGTGCAAACTTATTTTATTTTTATTTATAGCTCCCTTCAGGGCTGTGTGTTGAGCTCCTTCCTTTTCACTCTGCTCATATATGATCATGCTTCTACCCATCCAGGCTCTCATATTGTAAAGTTTGCAGATGATACAGCGGTGGTTGGATTCATCAGTCAATGATGAGTCCAGCTACAGACAGGAGGTGGAACACCTGGAGAGCTGCAGGAAGAACAACCTTCACATCAATGTGATGATGACGAAGACGAATGAGATGGTTGTGGATCTCGGACAGAGCAAACACACCTAACCCCACCCCCCTGGAACATGGGAGGAGCTGCAGTGGAAGTGGTCTCCAGTTACAAATAACTTGGGTGTGCACCTGAATGACCACCTCAGATGGGGCAACAACACTTCCAGCCTGATCAAGAAAGCTCATCAAAGACTCTACTTCCTCAGGCGGCTGAGACGAGCTGGTCTGGGAAGCTCAGTCCTCACCTCCTTCTACAGGTGTGCAGTGGAGAGCATCCTGTGCTCCAGCATCAACGTGTGGCATGGAGGCTGCACAGCTGCAGAAAGAAAAGCTTTGCAGAGAGTGGTGAAGGCTGCACAGACGTCTGTTGGAGTCAGTCTCCCCACCATCACAGACATCTACACCTCTAGATGCAGGAAGAGGGCTACCTGCATCATGAAGGACCACACTCATCCAGCACACACACTTTTTGCCCCACTCCCCTCGGGAAGGAGGTTGAGGAGCATTAAGTGTAGAACCACTAGACTGAGGAACAGGTTCTACCCTGAGGCTGTTAGACTCATAAATACCTACCCAGCATAATCACTGTAATAACACTTTATTTGGTGATATGTGACTTATCCATGCTGCTGATTATCCATGCTGCTGATTATCAATGCTGCTGCTGATTTCATGCTGCTGATTATCTTATGCTGTTGTATTCATTTGTACCATCTGCTCACCATAGCCTCATGTTCGGGCTGCTGTTGTTACGTCGTATTGTTTTGCGTTATTAGTGTTTAGCTATATCTTAAATCTTTTAGCGCACCGTTTGACGTTTGTTTAGCGTATATCTTAGTGTATATCTTAGATCCTTATAAACCGTTTCTTTTACACTTATATTTTTGATATTGTACTGGGAGCCTGTGTACATAATTGTGTTCCATGTCATGTACCACATGTGTTGGAAATGACAATAAAATTGACTTGAACTTGATTTTATTTATTGAATAGGTTAACATCGTCAATAGCAGCAACAGCCTTAATATAAAAGGTTTGTTTCAGCTATTAATCAACCGTATGATAATAATGAATGATTTTCAAACTTGTTTCAATGTCCCGACTTAGTTTTAGTTTGAAAAAATCCTGTGGTTAAAAAAAAAATTCAATTTGAATAAAAGGCGTTTTTCGTGTCTCTCCTGCCAATAAAATCTGCAGCTTTTTTATCTGCAAGTATAATATCAATAGCAAGTCAAACTCTCAAGACATTTATTATTTTTCATCTTCTATTTCATAAATGGTGGTAAAATATATGTAGGTGAAATAACAATTTACCATTTGAGAGTGATAATGTGATAATAAAATATTTTTCTTTTTCTAAAAAAATTGTTTTTATTAAAGCTATTATAAGTCAGTTACATGTAGAATTGGTGTTCTAAAATGTGTTTTTTGAACTTGAACATCACACTTGTTTTTTTAAACAAAAAGGTTTATAACCAACATTAATACCATTTTGAGCTGAAAATCTGCATCTATGTGAGATAATTACCAGTTTTTCTCCGTGAGAATAGTGTGTGACAGCTGACAGCGGGGCATGGCGAGCATTTGGCTGCGGAGTTTTGAGATTAAAGTGGAAAAGGTGGGGTGTCCTCTGTATCCCGGCAGCAGAGAGAACAGTGGGTATGTTCCTGACCCTGAATGCAACCATAATATGAGGTTAAACGTTTCACAACACTCAATAAAAGAGGACATGTTACAAAATAATGCAAATTCTCAACAACCTGCTTTGTTCAGGTTTTCATCTCGGTCGTTTTCTTGGACTGGAAGCAGAAACATGTTGACTTCAGTACCCAGGAATTCCTGCCCGAGCCCTGGGAAGATGTTGCGGTCTAACATGGATAACGTTCCTGTGAAACAAACCACATTATTTTGCTTAAAGCAGTTTCTGTTTAAGAGTTTGTTCAGAAGATTTCTAACAATTTTTTTTCCCTAAAGTACTTTGTTCTAGCATATTAAACACAAACACAAAGTGCTTATAATTAAAAAGTTAAGATTTAAATTCCCAGTTGTTTCAACTTGCACAATCATCATCACATTGCTAAAACTTGTTAAAACTGTATTCATGTACAAACCAGAGTCCAAAAAAGTTGGGACACTAAACAAATTGTGAATAAAAACTAAATGCAATGATGTGGAGATGGCAAAGGTCAATATTTTATTCGTAATACAACATAGATGACAGATCAAAAGTTTAATCTGAGTAAATGTAACATTTTAAAGGAAAAATATGTTGATTCAAAATTTCACAGTGTCAACAAATCCCAAAAAAGTTGGGACAAGTAGCAATAAGTGGCTGGAAAAAGGAAATTGAG